ATAATTAAAACAGACAGAATTTTACCCAAATTCTGCATGTACCTTGCGGTCGGTCTCCGTTCGTGCATTAAAACCCCACGAACCCCTTGCCATCCACAGTCATCCTGGTGTTCGCTGCAATCCCTATGTAAGCTTAAACAAAACTACCGAACAGCCGGTTGTTCGGTAGTTCCAGCACGAACTTACGAGCTCCTGGAGGTCTCAGCGGTGTTCGCCTGTTTGTGTATCCGATTTTAGTTCCATGCGTTCACAGGCAAACACCGCAGTTTGTGCATAAGATGGCCGCGAACAGGTGTAAAGTCCCGAAATGGCGGCCATCTAACCTGAGCACAAAGGAATTCGTATGAAACCATGCGAACGGCTCCAAAAGCGCTGGGAGGTAAAGTACCAATTAACTGTTCCCCTGGGTGGTCTGATGTTCGGTATTTTGAGCTGTATTCTCCAGTAGGGATATTTCCACGAAATAGTCATTCTTTTTTTGTGTAATACATCCAGCGGCATTGAAATATAAGTCCAGGCACAAAGCATAGGTAAAAGCATAGTTCTGTTACACTGCTCCCCTTTTGTGGAACACTCCTGCAGACCCGGATTGATCCTTTTCGGGTCAACTTGGGGCTGTCTGGTCTGCGGTTAAGGGAAAAGTTCCGTTTGCCTGGACAGTCCGTCTGCGTTCCCATTGAACCGGCCAGGGAGATTTTGAATGGAGAAGTTGTACGGTTGTAGGGCCAAGCTCCATCTCAGTAATCGTCCATTGTCCCCAGTTCAGCCATACTAGGGGGTTATGGTCTGTGATCAGGGTGAATTCCTGACCGTACAGGTATGGTGTGAACTTCTTTAGAGCCCAGACCCGGGCTAGACACTCTTTTTCCACTGCTGCGTAGCTCACTTCCCTGGGCAATAGTTTTCTACTCAGGTACGCGACAGGGTGTTCCCCTCCATCTTCCCCGACTTGGCTCAGAACTGCCCCCAGTCCGTACATGGACACATCTGTATGGACGACAAATCTTTTGTTAGGGATGGGGGCAGACAAAACCGGTGCGTTGATCAGGGCTTGTTTCAGGGTTTGGAAAGCGTCTGTCATGGTCCGGTCATTGAGGCGTCGGTAATCGACACAGAACCGGGTCGTTCCATCCTTTTTGGGAACTAGGACAACTGGGGATGCCCAGAGGCTGTCGGACGGCTCTATAACTCCCAGTTTTAACATCTTCTGAATCTCCTTTCTCATATCCTCTTTTACGGCTTCAGGGATTCTATAGGGAGTCTGTCTGAGAGGGGTTTGTCCTGGGGTTTCCACATAATGTGTCGCTAGGGGTGTGTAACCAGGCTCTTGAGAAAATGTCAATCCTTTCTCAGCTAGCAATTGTTGGAGTTGTTCCCTTTCTGTGGGAGTTAACCACTCCCCTAGCTGCACTGTATTGAGCAGAGTTTTAGGCTCGGAGTCGGCTAACAGATCTGGGATGGGAAGACTGTCAGGGTCTTCAGTGGCCGGGATACATATGGCCGCTATATCTTCAGGCCTTTCCTGATACTCTTTTAATAAATTGACATGAAAGGACTTCTGGATCCTTTCGTCCTGGCTACTGGCAATTACATAGGTGGTGTCACATATCTGGGCCACTACCTTGTAAGGGCCCTGCCAGGAGGTCTGTAGTTTGTTTCCCTTGACAGGTCTAAGTACCAGAACTTTCTGACCTACTTGGAACGTTCTCAACCGGGCGTCCTGATCGTACCAATGTTTCTGACGGCCCTGGGCTGCCTGAAGATGTTCTCGGGCCATCCTGGCTAGGTGCCCGCATCTCCAGCACATAAGGTACTATAGGAACTCCCTCATGTTCTATCTCTCCGTCCCATTGCTCTCGGATGAGGTCGAGGGGGCCTCGCACTCGCCGTCCATAGAGCAGCTCGAAGGGAGAGAACCCTGTGGATTCCTGTGGCACCTCTAGATATGCAAACAAGAGGTGCGGCAAGAATCGCTCCCAGTCTCTGTATTCCGCCGTAAAGGTCAGCAGCAATTGCTTTAGGGTACCATTAAAGCATTCACAGAGACTGTTAGTCTGAGGGTGGTACGGGGAGCTGAGCAGGGTCTTGACACCACAGACCTTCCATAACTGCTGAGTTAGGTCTGCGGTGAAATGGGTCCCTCAGTCAGATAGGATTTCCTGAGGGAATCCCACTCTGGTGAATATCCCGACTAGAGCACTGGCGACAGTGTCAGCCTGGATATTCGTGAGAGCGATGGCCTCTGGGTAGCGGGTAGCATAGTCCACTACTGTAAGAATAGGTAGGTGCCCCACTAGGTTGACTGCCACCCAGCTAAACGGTTCCTCGATCACGGGCATGGGTGACAGTCGAACTTTAGGGTGATCCCCTCTCTTCCCTACTCGTTGGCATGTGTCGCAGGTACTGCAGTAACGCCACACGTCCTTCGAGATCCCAGGCCAGAAAAAGGTCTGTGTGATCCTGTAGGCGGTGCGGTTACCCCCTAAGTGCCCTGCCAACGGAATGTCGTGTCCAATTCAGAGAAGTTCCAATCGGTACTTTCTGGGTACCACTAGTTGGCGCTTCTGCGAAGGGATACAGCCTCTCCTCCTACCTTGGGTCAACCTGTATAATCTTTCACCCTCCCATATAAAACGCTCCCACTCATCCCCCCCCCACTGTCTGCTAATTCCCGATATTTTTGGAGGGTGGGGTCCTTTCTATTTTCCCTCCCAAACTCCTCTGGGGTGTCTTTCTGCTGTGTTAGGGCTGAGTGTCTGCTTGTGGCTTACCTGGGTCTCCCGGCCTGCTGGAGGATCTTCCTCAATACGGGTCTGTGAGCGTGTGGTCACGGGACAAGCAGCAGCAGTCGTGGATAAATAAGCTGAAGCTAGAGGGCCAAAGTTGTTACCCAACATGACTTCAGCAGGTAATGGGTAAGCGAAAAACAGCCCCCCCCGTGACACGAACAGCAACAGTACGGTTAGATACATGCTCCGGTTTCACAAGATGTTCATGCACCAAAGTGATGGTAGCGCCAGTGTCCCTTAGGCCTTGTGTTACTTGTCCATTTACACGCACCTCCTGGTGGTGATGCTGGCGGTTATCTGGGGATGCGGCTTGTGTGGGGTTTGCCTCGTACAGAATGCCCAAACACTCCTCAGGGCTCCCTTCGGTTTCCAGGCAGTGAGCAGCAGAGGTGCGTGATGGTGGGGTCTCTGTGTTAGTGGTCGAGCACCTCCAGTTGTTATTGGCTGATCCCAAGGGGCAATAACTAGACTTGGGCATTTCAGAAATTTTCGAAAAAGAAAATAGTTTAGTCAGAACCGAAATTCGTTAATTCTTTCATTCGTTTTCGTACGATATTCGTTAGTATTTTCGTTTCGGCTAAACTTGTTCGTTAATTCGGCGCGATTTAATTGAACCAAAGGAATTGAATACATAAAACTATGTTCCCTAATCCCTAAATACCGAATAGCTTCAACCGAACTCAGTAAAACCATTTGTTTCAAATGTTGTACATTGCTAACAAAATGGCATTGATTGAATGCTGTATTACGCCTAAAACTCCTGAACCGTCAAATGCACGAACGCTGGCATTCGCATGAAAATGTATTGGCGCTATTAGTAAATTACCGAACACCACTCACTATAGTCATTCGTATGTCGAATGGTATTGCAAATACAATGCAATCATAAAAGTCAGTTCATTAATCCCTAAATAACAAATAGCCTCAAGTGAACGCAGTAAAACCATTAATTTGTTTACATTTTCGTACATTGATCTCCCAACACATGGCATTGAACAATGTTCTAATCTATTTAGGCCTAAAACTCCCGAACAAATTCCCGAACCGTCAAATGCACGAACACTGCCGTTCGCATCAAAATGTATTGGCACTATTAGTAAACTACCGAACACCACTTACTATAGTCATTCGCATGTCGAATGACATTGCAAATGCAATGCATTGCTTTTGCCTAGTTTCTTGGCTCATGAATCATCATGCTTCCCTGACAGGTGGTACTGGCAACACAGTATCATTTTATAAGGGAGTGGGAAAGTAGTAGCCAATTAAATAGGCTTTTACATACTGCCAGACAAAACTGTAGAAAAAAAAAAGTATCAACTCAAGGCAGTCCTACAATGCAAAATCTATCCAGATTTTCTATAGGCCAGCCATTCAGCCATTTTGGAACTCAGCCAGCCCACCACCCTGTCAGCCATTTTAGGCACTTGGACACTGAGCCTGCCAGAAGTGGTCCTCCTCCAGCTCCTCAAGCGAGATAGCCATGGATGTAGTGGAGGGGGGCATTGGCCACTCTGGCCAGGATGTAGGAGAAGCAAGTGGGAGAAGCAAGAAGAAGCAGAGGCAGCCCAGGATCTTAAAAAGAGCAGATCCTGGGAGGAAGAATAAATACGCAGATAGCTTTCGTGCAGAGGAGAATACAATACTGGTAAACAAGCTTTGCCAGTACTACCAATACCACTAGCAGCTATGCTTTTAAAGTCTTTTAAAAGTGAGAGTTGGGTCACTTAAGCACATAGAGGAGGAAAAAAAAACATGTGCAGCTCAGCTTTAAAGGAACACTATAGTGACAGGAATACGTTTGCATTCCTGTCACTATAACTGTGAAAACACAGTTTAACCTCCCTCTCAGCAACGTAACTGTAATTAAAGGGACACTCCAGTGCCAGTAGAATAAACCATCTTCCACCCCTCATCCCAGGGGGAGACCAATTGCGCATGCGCGGCCGCCGGCAGGGTGAGATCTAATGCGCATGCGCATGCGCTGCAATGCTGCACATGCACATTAGACCTCCCCATAGGAAAGCATTGAAAAATGCTTTCCTATGGGGTTTCAGCGACGCCACTAGAGGAAGAGTTAACCCTGCAAGGTAAATATACTGAAGTGCTCTGGGTGCCTATAGTGGTCCTTTAAATTCAGATTTGTTAGTCGAAATGTACATATATCAGTTTGCTTGTGTTAACCTTCCAATGTGTGTTTTCTATGCCATCAGTGCAAGCCCTTCAATCCCCAGAAGAGGCACCAGGAACTGCATGAGATGCTGTCTCCATGGAGAGCAGGGCAGCAGGTTCACCTCCTGTCTCCCTGGAAGTGCGCCTGGCTTCACTTTCCTCTCGTAAGTACTTGCATAGCATTGTTAGATAAATGTTATGTGTGTGTGTGCGTGCGCATTTAAACATACACACATGTATGTGATTTTACTGTATATGAAGTTAATTTATCACATACATGTATTTCAGACCATCCGCAACTTGTCAACGTTTCTTCACCACGTACGAGTGTGGTTTCCCTCCAACAGCCGGCCACTGGTGTCCAGGAACAGGGATCCACTGCTGAGCATAAGTAAAAAAATGCTTTAACTGTACACATTTTCTTTGCAGGCATACTAGTGTATGTAACAGGCAGGGCCAGGTCGACCGCTAAGCATACTAAGCGTCTGCCTAGCACGCACTGGCCAGGAGGCTAAATGTCTAGGTGACCAGCAGGGGTGGGGGGGAGCTCACATCGCTCCTCTCCTTCTGTTCACTTTATGTACTGTGGCTGAGTGGACCACGTGTGATCTTATCTACCATCTACTTGGCCTGACAGGAAGTTGAGTGCAACGATCAGCTTCCTGTCATGCAGAAGAAACAGGAGATTCTCTACCTGGGGACGCTCGTCCACGATACATGTAGGGAGATTAGAAGGAAAGGGAGGTGGGCACAAAGACATGCAAAGAGACAGAGATGCATAACTATACTTAGACATAATAATAAATTAATAGCATGACTGCATATATCTTATTTCCAAGTTTAAATAATATTGTTGTACACATAATAGTAAGCATTGCAACATATGACACATGCTAACAATGTTCTTTCTCTGTTCTCCCCTATAGGTTCTGATGGTACTCTCCCCCTGCAAGAGGAGGGTACCATTACCCTAACAGCAGTGGATCCTGATTCAGAGACATCAGTGGCCGAAGAAATGCAGTTGCCACAACTTCCTCCACCAATGGCTGCGCTGTATGCGACGATCCAGGCTCGTCAAGCTGAACTTTAGACGTCCATACAGCAGGATAGGGAGAATCAGCGAGAACTATTGCAGAATGTAATAACCGAGTTACGCTCCATGTCGAACATTTTGAATGAGGGCCTTAGGC